TATCACTTTCACCTTCTCAATGGCTTGGTGAATCAAATCTGGCCCATATAATTCTGTTTCAACAACTTCGAACCATCCAACTGGTGATCTACATCTCCTCCCGTATAGTCCCTCGTATGGGGACATTTTAATACTAGAATGGTAGCTATTATTGTAGGCAAATTCTATGAGTGGAAGATGGTTATCCCAATTTCCCTTAAAATCTAGAACACATGCTCGTAGCATATCTTCAAGTGTCTGAATGGTACGTTCAGCCTGTCCGTCAGTCTGTGGATGAAATGCAGTGCTGAGATTCACTTGTGTGCCTAAACCCTTCTGAAAAGACCTCCAAAAGTTAGCCGTAAATTGAGCTCCTCGGTCTGATATAATAGATATTGGTACACCATGAAGCCTAACAATCTCCTTGATATACAACTTCGCATAATCTTCAGCCGTATAAGTTGTCTTAAATTGCAGAAAATGGGCACATTTTTGTAAGTCGATCAACTATCACCCAGATGGAGTCAAACTTATGATAAGAGCGAGGTAACCCAATAATGAAGTCCATATTAATCACCTCCCATTTCCAGGTCGGAATCTCTATATTCTGAAGCAATCCACCGGGTTTCTGATGTTCGATCTTTACTTGTTGACAATTAGGACACTGGGCTACAAATTCTGCAATAGACTTCTTCATGTTATCCCACCAATACTGCTCCTTAATGTCATGATACATCTTTGTCGAGCCGGGATGGATGGAATATCGGGATTGATGAATCTCATTCATAATCTTCTCTCGCAACCCTGCCACATTAGGCACACATAATCGGCCCTGGTATCTCAGTGCCCCATCTCCTCCGATCTCAAAAGCCGTAATTTTACACTGCTGAATGCTCTCTCTCAATCGTACTAAGATAGGATCTTCATATTGCCGTGCTTTTACCTCGGCTACCAAAGATGATTCTGATGTACTATGTACAGTAACACCTCCGTCATCAGAGTCTAACAATCTGATTCTCATATTGGCTAGCTGATGAAGCTCTTTAGTCAACCCCCATCTACCTGCCTCAATGTGTACTAAGCTTCCCATTGACTTACGGCTGAGAGTGTCTGCCACAACATTGGCTTTACCGGGATGATACAATATCTCGACGTCGTAGTCTTTCAGTAATTCAAGCCACCTACTCTGACTCAAATTCAACTCTTTCAGCTTGAAGATGTATTGTAAACTCTTGTGATATGTGTAGATGTCAACATGGATGCCGTATAAGTAGTGCCGCCATATCTTCAAAGCATATATTACTGCAGCCAATTCCAAATCATGGGTTGGATAACTCTTTTCATGCTTCTTCAATTGTCTTGATGCATAAGCAATCACCTTCCCACATAGCATCAATACGCACCCCAAACCTATACCTGAGGCATCACAATATACCACATAACCTTCTGTTCCTTCAGGAAGAGTGAGAACTGGTGCGGATGTCAATCGATTCTTCAACTCCTGAAAACTTTGTTCACAAGCGTGAGACCACTGGAATTTAGTAGCTTTTTGTGTTAACTTAGTCAATGGTGCTAATATAGAGGAAAACCCTTCTACAAATCGCCTATATATCCTGCTAGCCCCAGGAATCTGCGGACTTCTGATGGTGTTGTAGGTCTCGGCCAATCCTTTACTGCATCGATCTTCTAAGTGTCGACACTAATACCCTCGTCAGATATCACATGGCCATGGAATGCTACTGAGTTCAGCCAGAATTCACATTTGGAGAGCTTAGCATATAACTTACGATCCTAAAGCGTCTGTAATACTATCTACAAGTGGCCCGCATGTTCCGCCTCCGAACAAGAATACACCAAAATTTCATCAATGAATACGATCACGAACACATCAAGATAGGGCCTGAATACAATATTCATGAGATCCATAAAAGCTGCTGGGGCATTTGTTAGCCCTAACGACATCACCAAGAACTCAAAGTGCCCATATCTTGTCTGGAAGGTCGTCTTTGGAATATCCTTCTCCTTGACCCTCACCTGATGATACCCTGAAAGTAAGTCAATCTTGGAGAAATACTTAGCATCCTAGAGTTGGTCAAACAAGTCGTCAATCCTTGGAAGTGGATACTTGTTCTTTATAGTAAACTTATTCAATTGTCGATAGTCGATACACATCCGTAATGATCCGTCTTTCTTCCGCACGAACAAGAATGGCGCACCCCAAGGTGAAGTGCTAGGCCTAATGAAGCCCTTATCCAGCAAGTCCTTCAACTGCGCCTTCAACTCTCGCAACTCTGCCGGGGCCATTCTGTATGGAGGGATAGAGATCGGTTGAGTGTCAAGCAACACATCAATGCTAAACTCAATCTCCCTTTCAGGAGGAAGGCCTGGGAGTTCATCTGGGAAAACATCTGGAAATTCATTGACCACGGGGATTGAATGTAGAGTAGGCGGCTTCGCCTCCGCATCCCTAATGCGAACGAGATGACAAATATAACCTTTTGAGATCATCTTCCTTGCCTTAAGATAGGAAATAAACCTACCTTTCGGCATAGCACTGTTCCCCTTCCATTTAATGACGGGTTCACCAGGAAACTTAAACCTAACCATCTTCGTACGACAATCAACATTTGCATAGCATGAGGCCAACCAGTCCATCCCCATTATCACATCGAAATCAACCATTTCTAACTCAAATAAATTTGTCGAGGTTTAACGACTACAAATCATCACTGTGCAACCTCTATATACACTCCTAGCAATCAGAGAATCTCCTATCGAAGTAGATACCGCAATTGGTTTACTTATCAATTCAGGTTCAACGCCAAACTTATTAGCCACAAAGGGTGTAACATATGATTATGTGGATCCCGGATCAATCAACGCATATACATCGTAATAAAACACAAACAATATACCTGTAACAACATACTGCAGATGACTCGAGAACCTGTCGACCTACTAGAGCATAGGTTCGATTTTGAGCACCACTCGAACTCTGCACTGCACCTCTACCTCTACCTCGACCTGTCGACTGCTGAAAACCCCGTGTTGGAGGTCGAACTGATGAGGAAGAACCAGACACAGATCCAGTCGACTGAGCCATACCACCACCTCCTCTGTTAGGACAATCCCGTATCATATGACCAGGTTGTCCGCAAGAATAGCACGCATCAGAACCTCGACGGCACAGTCCAAAGTGGGCCTTACCGCACTGATCATAACGTGGTGTTGGGGGTCTCGTCTGATTAGTATCTCTGTGATATTACGAGCCTGATGCCCGCGAACTATGACCTGGACCTAAATAGGTAAACCAATCATATAGAGGCCTCTGGAATTGTGGAGGAGCACTAGCTACAGATGGCGCTGAACTCCTCGAAGACTGGGGCCTGACATTGCCTCTGAAGTAATCAGAATACCCTGCAAATCTTGTCCTCTTATGCTGGCCCCTATCCTGCTCCCTATCTACCCTTTGCTGGCGCTTACGATCCTCTAGGGTCTGGGCAAAAGCCTGAATACGGGAAATATCCATGCCCTCAACCAAGGAGGTAGTCGTGCACTCATTTATCAGATGTGGTCCCAACCCGTTCACTAACAGATGCACCCTATCGCTCATCTCTGCTACCATATGGAGAGAATACCTTGCTAAAGAATCAAACTGCATATTGTACTCTCGCACACTCATATTACCTTGTCTAAGGTTCAAGAACTTATCAGCTCTAGCTCGTCGTATCTCAACTGGCAAGTAGTGATGAAGAAAGGCCTCAAAAAATTCCTTCCACACAGCTGGAGGAGCGTTCAGACCCCTGGATTTCTCCCAACTATCATACCAGAAAATCGCTAAATCCCGTAGCCGTTAAGAAGCCAACTCTACTGCCTCTGTATCACTAGCATGCATAACCCGCAGTGTACGATGAACCTGATCAATAAAAGTCTGCGGGTCCTCCTTGGGGTCTGATCCGGTGAACACTGGAGGGTCTAGATTAATAAAATCACGAACTCTCGTACTAACCGGTTTATCAACAACATCGGTATTCTGCCTTTGAGCCTGAGCAGCTACCAAGTTAGTCAACAACTGCACCGCATTCCGCATATCCTGGTCTGTAGTGCCAGACGGAGGAACAG